AATGTTTTTTTTTTTTTTTTTAAGAATTCTCTTCTGCTCACCAAGCCTGCATTTATTTGATCCAAAGTACAACAAAAACAGTAAAATGTTGAACATTTTTTACTATTTAACATAACGGTTTTATGTTAGAATATATTTTAAAATGTAATTTATTCCTGCAATTTCTAAGCTGAATTTTTAGCATCATCATTCCAGCCACATGATCCTTCAGAAATCATTCTAATGTTCTGATTTGCTGCTCAGATAGCTTTAGAAAGGTATCGTATATAATGTTACAAATGCTTTTCATTTCAGATAATATATATAAAGTCTCAAGTGGACAAGACATCAAATAGACAAAGAACTAGATGGGAAGTAAAACCAAATTTTATGTTTAAAACAAACATGCTTCCGTGACAATTTCCTTTGGGTTGACGTGACAGGTGACAAATATGTAAAATATTAATCAATTAACCACACCTTCTTAGATTTTCCAGTACAGAGTTACAACATAAACAGCAGCGGCAGGTGGGTATATAAAACAAGGCATAATTCGCACCTTACATTTGGAGAGGTTGCTTGCCTAGCAGGAGAAATGCATGTTAGTCTTTTATTGACAGTGATAACACTGTGTATTACAAGGCTTTCCCCTGTGTTTGGGGTTAATTTAGGCACCTGCATTCTCCAAGGTGACCCACAGCTCCCTGCTCTCTTCAAGAACGGAGACTTTGTTATTGGAGGGGCTTTTACCATTCATTATTATCTGAGGACAGAGAAGCACACCTACACTAGACAGCCACAACCACTAGTGTGCAGTGGCAGGTTAGAGTATGACAAAATGGAATGTAATCTCTAAAAAAGCAGGGTTGAATATGTTATATTGATTGTGCTTAAATTATGTTCATAGTTGTCTTTTTGTTTATGCAAAATGAGCTAATATGAATCAGACAACAAGTTTAAGTGCTTGTATTTAAGTTGTTATAATAAACTTTTTCATCTGTGTGCTTGAACAGCATGGACTTCAGAGAGTTGCGCTTTGCTCGTGCCTTACAGTTCGCCATCCAAGAGATCAACAACAGTTCTGATCTTTTACCGGGCATCACATTAGGGTACCATATATATGACTCTTGTGCCTCTGTGCCAATGGTAATGAAAGTAGCGGTTCAACTTACCAACGGAGTAGATCTTGTATATAATGACACTGATGCCTGTGTAAAATCGGCTGCAGTTCTCGCATTAGTCGGAGAATCTGGTTCCACTGCGGCTATAAGCACTTCAAGACTTTTCGGTCGTTTCGGGATTCCACAGGTGCTTACTCTAACTATTTCTTGGTCTTCTTTAAATTGTGTAATTGTTGTAATTTCGGACACATTTGACATTTGTGTCAGCAGATATCATGCATGTAAATGTAAAGTATTAATATTTCTTTATTGTGCTCTATAGGTGAGTCATTACGCAACATGTGCATGTCTCAGTGACAAGCGGCAGCATCCTACTTTCTTCAGGACCATCCCCAGCGATCACCATCAAGCGGCAGCACTGGCACGGATGGTCAAGCACTTCGGATGGACGTGGATCGGAGCTGTGCGCAGTGATTCAGACTATGGTAACAATGGCATGGCATCATTCTTGAAAGCTGCGGAGCAGGAGGGAATCTGTGTGGAGTATTCTGAGGCCTACTACAGGACCCAGCCACGCAGCAAACTAAAAAGGGTTGCAGATGTCATTCGTAGGTCAACGGCTCGTGTAATAGTTGCCTTCGTGGCAGCAGGTGATATGAGATTTCTGTTACAAGAGCTGAGCCAGCAGCCTCCTCCCCCGATGCAGTGGATTGGCAGCGAGGCGTGGGTTACAGATCCACAAATGCTGCGGTTTAATTTGTGTATCGGTGCTGTGGGCTTTGCAATCCCACGGTCGGTTATCCCTGGTTTTCGTAACTTTCTACTTGACCTGTTTCCAGAACAAGCGCTAAAATTTCCCCTGCTGACAGAATTCTGGGAAAGCTCATTCAGCTGTAGTCTAAAAAGGCAGACAGGTTCTTCTGCTGGTATGCCAGCATGTGATGGCACAGAGGACCTGCACGCTTTACAGAACCCGTACACAGACACGTCCCAGTTGCGGATCACTAACATGGTGTACAAAGCCACATATGCTATAGCCCATGCCCTCCATAGCATCATCTGTAACGAAAAGCATTGTGACAACAACATCAGAGTTGGACCCTGGCAGGTACACTTTCTCATCGTCAAACATCTGAACTAATTATTTAATTTTTCCCCCAATGCATTTACAAAAGAGATTTGAAAATTCTTAATATAGTAGCTATTTCTTTTAGGCCTACTATAAAATATACAACCACTCACAGTATTTCAGTACTGATTATTTAGCAAATTACACCAGTCTGTATTTGTCATGCCTATCATGCAGGTTTTTGATCAGCTGAAGCGAGTGAACTTTACCAAAAATAATTATCCTGTCTCATTTGATAAAAATGGAGACCCTGTGGCCACATATGAACTTGTGAATTGGCAGCTTCAGGGAGACGGTTCAGTTGATTTTGTGACAGTGGGTCAATATGATGCATCCAAGACTAAAGGCCAAGAATTCAGTCTGAGTAGAGCTATCATTTGGTATGATGGCAGTGAAAAGGTATTTATTTATTTTATTTTTTATTTGTGTGTGTGTGTGTGTGTGTGTGTGTGCTATCTTGGTTCATTTCTGACTCTTGATGCTATTTCTGCCTGTTACCTGCAGGTGCCTGTGTCTGTCTGCAGTGAGAGCTGTCCTCCAGGTACTAGGAAGGCTGTGAAAAAAGGAAGACCTGTCTGCTGTTATGACTGTATTAACTGTGCTGAAGGAGAGATCAGCAACGAGACAGGTACTTTGTCTGGACATTCTTGTGAATAAATCATATATGCTTGTTGATCAATTATATTTGACTATCTAAGATAAAGAAAAATATCTTTTAAAAATGTTTTAATCATTTAGCTTGAAAAGTTCTTAGAAGTATTTGGTCACACTTTATTTATTACTCTCTTTGTCTCTTTGTTACAAAGTATTTATACAATTTAATACCGATTAAGATTAACTAACAACATTATTTTAATAGAGAGTTCAACGTGTATAACATAGACACTGTAAAATCAAGTATTACCAAATATTTTTATAACAGTGTTTTATACAGTTTCTAAGGGAAAATAATTAATAACACAACAATCAAGTTAACAGTAATGACATATTACCCTTACACCTTGAATGTATGTGATTGTACACACCTTAATCATTATTGTCAAAAACCCAAAATATATTTTTCAAGGTAAAACATTTTTTTTAACAAATATCATGAATTAATATATATATATATATA